TTAAATTTCGACACACCCTTTTTTACACAATATGTTTAAGTACATAAAGAAACTATCGCACAACTGGAAAGAAATTTTGAAACCTCGTGAAGTTGAATGAGATAGGGTAATAAGGGTTGAGGAATTTGGATGTCAGATGGAATTTAGAATGAATGGGACACTTATCTTTTGAAAGTGATCCGAGATGGCCAGTACCCGATGCTGCCTTGTGGTTGCTGATCTTCAGTAATTGTAGTCCTGGGTCAATACTTTAGCTGTATCGATGCTCCAGTTGTATCCAAATTCGCCTTGCTCAATCCTCACGACGACTTTCGTCCTTGTGTGGTCCGAATAAATCGCAGCAATTTTGCTCGACGAATAAATATGCTGATTTTTTATATGCAGTCCTGTCACGGTCGCCAATTATGTCTGTGCAGACACCTTCCATATAATGAAACTTCTTGAGTGTAATTGCATATGTGAATTTATTTAGTACTAGCTGACCCGCGCAACTTCGTCTGCGTCTCTCAATAGTAATAAAATTTCTCCGTTTTTGAAACATTCATCATTGGTGCTCCGCTCCTATTGGTCTTAGCGTGATGATATATAGCCTATAGCCTTCCTCGATAAATGGGCTATCTAACACTGAAATAATTTTTCAAATCGGACCAGTAGTTCCAGAGATTAGCGCGTTCAAACAAACAAACAAACAAACAAACAAACAAACTCTTCAGCTTTATAATATTAGTATAGATAAGACCCGCGACAGCTTTCGAGTACAAGAATAAAAGTGGGTTTCGAGACCCTTGTCGGTCCTATTTATACATTTATTTGATACATAAAAATAAATTATAAACACCGTCACGATGTTATAAAATCGTCACGATGATGCGCCTGATGAATTTGTTGCTCATTAAGTACGCACTGCGATTGCCAGCTGTAGTAGGTTAGGCGTGGCCTGAACAACAGTAATTGTTAATTTTATTCAGGTCTTCCTGGAACCTGAGGTGATCATTAGAATTATCTATAGAGAGGTAATTTTTTAGGTCGTCTGCGTATAATAAAAAATTATAATGCTGAAAGCAATTATGTATATCATTGATGAAAATACTGAATAACATGGGACCAAGGATAGATCCCTGTGGTACACCAGACGTTATAACAACCGTATCTGATTCATGTCCATTGATGACTACTTTTTGTGTTCTGTTTGTCACGTACGACTTAAACTATCTCCAAAGATTCCCGCGAATGCCGTTGAAAGCAAGTTTTTCTAGCAATAAAGGATGAAAAAGATGCTACACTGAAACATCTTACTTCTGCCCCGACTCCTGACTGTTCTCCCTTCTTCTTTAGTCAACTTGCAGAGTGTGATGTTAGGAAGAGCATAGTGTCTATTGCTTCAAATGTAGTGGGTTCTGACTGTCTAAGCCGCAATATGATCCTCCCAATCCTCGATGAAATCCTACCTGTTGTTTGTCACATACTAAACTTTTCAATTACCTACAGCGTATTTCCAACGGCTTGGAAGGGTGCTGAAGTTATACCCATCCCAAAAAAAAAAACCCCGCATCCTTCTCCGATTACCGCCCTATTTCAGTCCTCCCTTTTCTATCCAAGGTCCTTGAACGTCTTATTCATTCTCAACTTACGAATTTCCTATCCAGAAACGTGCTCCTAAATCCTCTCCTCTCCTAAGTCCGGTTTTCGACCTGGTCACAGTACCACTACCCTAGTCCATATTACGGAGGATATCAGATCTGCTATGGAGAACGGCGAGCTTACAGTTCTAAAACTGCTGGACTTCAGTAACGCATTCAACACGGTCGACTTTGACGTTCTGTTGTGTACATTACGCACTCTTAACATATCTCCAACTGCGATTGACTGGTTTCGCAACTACCTGCTTGGTCGCCGGCAGCGCATTAGTATTGAGAGCACTGTTTCATCTTGGTGTAGTACTACAGCCGGTGTACCGCAGGGCGGCGTGCTATCTCCCCTACTTTTCTCTGTTTTTATCAACACTATCACTAATGATCTATCGTCTTCCTACCACCTGTATGCAGATGATCTCCAAATCTATTCTAGGGCTACACTAGGTAATCTGGCTGATGCTGTTGGCACCATAAATTATGACCTAGATAAAATATGTAGGTGGAGCAACTCCCACGGTCTGAAAATAAACCCAATTAAAACTCAGGTCATTGTTGTTGAAAGTTCGAGAATGATCTCCAAAATTGACTGGACAAATCTGCCTAAAATCACTTGCAACGGCACACTTATTCCGTACAGCGATAGGGAAAAAAACCTGGGCATTTACATTGATACTACCTTATCTTGGGGACCTCAGTTACAAGAGCTGAGTCGCAAAATGTTTGCCGCTGCAGGGTCCTTGAGCCGACTTCGCAACTTTCTACCTACTACTACCAAGATTACTCTTGCACAATCCCTTCTTCTCCCCATCCTTGATTATGCTGATGCCAGCTATCTAGACCTTACCGAAGACAAATTGAATAAGCTTGAGAGGCTCCAAAATCTCTGCATAAGATTCATATTTGGATTTCGCAAATATGATCATGTTTCTGAATTTCGCAAAAAGCTTAAGTGTAACCACTTAAGCTTTTCGCAACTTTCTACCTACTACTACCAAGATTACTCTTGCACAATCCCTTCTTCTCCCCATCCTTGATTATGCTGATGCCAGCTATCTAGACCTTACCGAAGACAAATTGAATAAGCTTGAGAGGCTCCAAAATCTCTGCATAAGATTCATATTTGGATTTCGCAAATATGATCATGTTTCTGAATTTCGCAAAAAGCTTAAGTGGTTACCCATTCGCCTTCGCCGGAATGCACATATTCTTTCTCTTCTCTATAGTATTCTATTTAATCCTTCTACTCCACAGTACCTCAAATCACGGTTTACGTTCTTGAATGACACACACTCCAAACTGCTGAGATCGTCAGAGAACCTAAAACTAAAAATGCCGGAACATTCCACAAAATTCCTTGGCGGCTCCTTCTCTGTCCAAACAGTTCGGTTGTGGAACACCCTACCGATCGCAATCAGACGGGCACAATCACTTGCCTCCTTTAAGAAACAAGTGAAAGAGTGCTACCTGGAAGACGGCAACGTCAATTAACTTCTACTAAGTCGACAAGGTCACACTTTTTCTTATAATAAATGTATTTATAACTTATAAATCGTCGTATCTAATTACATGTATCTAATAACACCATATTTTCGTCCTAGTATGTTATATATTCACCTAAGGTCAACAAATAGACATTATGTGTAATTATCACTTTTTATAGTTATGTATATACTACTTTGATTTCTTCTTCTTATTCTTATTCTTCTTTCCTAACACACCAGCAACTACCCAATACCTCCTTCTCCTCATGTTTTCTCTCCATACCACGGTTGCGTGTAAGAGATTGCCTCTGGGCGATAAGGCCGCCACTTATACTGAACTAGTTTAAGGTAATTATGTATATTTATATCTGGTGTACAATAAAGTGATATTTTTATCTTTTTATTTTTATTTTCTTTTCTTCCTTCTCTTGTATGTATCATTAAAAATAAATATATATATAAACAACAATCACATTTAAAGCACACCTGAATACATTTCAGATGGATGGATGACTCCCATAACACAGGTGTTCCTAGCATGGGGTCATTGATCAATGATTTTGTGTGTATTCTGTTTCTTTTTTTTTCTAAGCGTAACAACAAGGTGAAATACTATGTATGTACAAGGTAAAAAAGATAAAAGGAAAAAAAGAAAAAAAAACTGTGTACCTAACTAACCTAAGAAAATTATGTTGTATTCAAAAAAAATGTTCTTAATTTGGTGTTATTAAATATTATTATTATTATTAATTATATTACCAGAAAAAAGTCTGTGTAAGATATTAAAGAATAGAGACACGTTAATTTTTTCACAGAATGGGAATTTGGCTTACTGCAAAAGTAAAAATAATTTATTTGCTAGTTCATATTCTTTATCGGTAAACTCGCGAGACGATTTGCTGAAAGAAAACATTATTGTGCAATAAATTAAAAATAAAAGAAATTGTGATTGTATGTTGTGAATAAGTCTAATAAAAATAAAGACTATATCGAATATTTATTAAAATATTTAGCCAAAAATAAAAATAATAATTTCCCAAGAGTATGTATTGTGAAGGACGTCCAAAAGATATATAAGGTAAACGCACCGGTGATGGACAAGGAACCAATAATGAACAAAAAAAAAACAAATCTGCAGGAATAAGGGCGGGAATCAATATTATTATATTGGCTACACTTTACCATAGACAAAAGTCGTCGAGCTGCCAAAGTTTGACGTTTCATTCACTTCCGTTTTATAACACAAAATGGCTTGAGGTAAATTGGTGCTCGTGTTATCGAATATATTATATGTATTAGTGGCTTTTGTTACGGAAATGGTTAGTGAGGTAGGTAGAAAGTTTATTTGATAATTTATTATTGCTTTATTTGAAACAAAATCTATTTTGTATGTTGGATTGACTATGAAATCAAGATAAGGACGTACTGTGCTTTTACTCTTGAGAGGTTATGTTTCACGTTATTTTGTCAATGTTTATTACTGGTGCACTTTAGTTGAATAGTTGCAATAATGGAAAAATGACCAAACCTTTTTTTTTATTGTTTATTGAGATTTTGAATAATTTTACTCCTTTTTAAATTCTTTATTAAAAGCTAGTTGAGAATTATAAAAATATTGATGCCTACCAGTAATGGACGCCTGTGTCCATTATTGGGTATTGCATAGAAATCCAGTTATGGACATTGAAGTAAAATAATACAGAAATTTCCTTTTTAGAAATGGCGCCTAAAATAAAATATACACCTCAACAAATGGGCTCTGCTATCGAAGCTGTTATTAGCTGTTAGAAAAGGCGCAAAAATATCTGACGCAGCCAAAAAATTTAACGTGCCTAGAATAACATTGCATAATAAAATCACAGCAAAAAGTCCCGTAGAGTGTCCAATGGGACCCAGTACCATTTTGTCGAAGGAAGAAGAAAATATTCTAGAAGATTGGACAATAGATATGTCAAATAAACATATTCCAATAGCCAAAGACGAATTATTAGATAGTGTTCAACGTGTAATAATCGACAAAAAGCAGGAGACTCCTTTCACTAATAATAGACCAGGCAAAAAATGGTATTCCTCGTTTATGAAACGACACCCTACGATTGCTGAACGTACTGCTCAAAAGTTATGCACGGCAAGGGATAATGTTACTCAAGATGACATTGAGAAATGGTTTTCGGAAGTTGAAACTGATTTGAAAGAAAGAGGACTAATTGGAATACTGAAAAATCCTCAAAGGATTTTCAATACCGACGAGAGCGCGTTTTTTTTTAATCCAAAATTAGGACGTGTCCTTGCTAAAAAGGGCGATAAAAATGTATATTCTTCTTCAGGCGATGATAAAGAAAATTTAACAGTTTTGGTTACTGGAAATGCAGCAGTAGAGCTCGCACCTACTCTGGTTGTTTTTAATTATGCAAAGATACCATCATCAATTTCAAAAACTTTTCCTGATGATTGGGCTATTGGTCGTTCAGAAAGCGGATGGATGTGCTCAGGAACATTCTTCGAATATATGACGAATGTGTTCAATCCTTGGCTGACTAACAAAAAATATTGAAAAGCCAATTTTATTCTTTTTGGATGGACATAAGTCACATTTGACTTTGCACCAGTTTAATTTCTGTTCTCACAATGGTATTGAGGTCATAGCACTCAATCCAAAATCTACACACATATTACCACCAATGGATTTGGCTGTTTTCAGGCCTTTAAAGTTGTCATGGCGAGAAGCGGTTAAGACCTGGAAAACACAAAATTTAGGAGTTTTGAAGACAGCAATCGAAAAACTTACTGTTGAGACAATCAAAAATGGATTTCGAGCTAGAGGATTGTACCCATTTGGTCCAGAATTTGTAGACATGAGTAAAATCAAATCTCATAACAGGCAGAATATTGATACTTATCCCATTACACGAACGATTCCCAACCAAGCGCTTCCTTACAAAATATTTGCTTAGCCAAAAAAACATCAGATCTTAATTCCTCAAATGCAGGCCAGGCAGACTTACCTGTCATTGATGATTCATTATCAAGAGAAAACGAAACTATTGCGGTCTTGTCTCATAATAAGAACGGTTCTGAACCAGGCACTTCTCTGAAAAACAATTGTTTATCAAAAGAAATTTCAGATCTTAATACTTCAAATACCGGCCAGGAAGATTTGGCAGCCACTAATAATTCTTCACCAAAAAAAACGAAACGATTGCGGTCTTGTCCCAGAAGACGAACAATTCTCAACAAAGCACATCAAACCTCAATACTTTAAATGAGCGAAATGCAAAACAGGGAAATTTAGAAGTCATTGGCAATTCCTTACAAATAACCTTGGCACTTCAAATTATGTTATACCATCGCCTTTTAAACGAAGCTTATTTTGGCCAGAAACAGATGAAATAACAAAAAATAAGAAACGCAAATTAAAAGAGAAAATTCCATTTACAATTACAAGCCCGGCATGGAAAGCATACAATACCAAGAAGAAAGAAGAGAAAAGAAAACAAATAGAAGAGAAGGAATTGCGAGCAAAAACACGAGAAGAAAAAAAAGGAAAAAACTTAATAACAAGAAAAAAGTTTCAAATAAAGGAAAAAACAGAGTTGAATCATCTGAAACTGAGGATGAAGTCATTTACGCTGAAAGTGACAAAAGTGTCTCGACTGAAGGATCGGAATCGGACGATGCGCCATTTTCATTTTCATTTTTGATAGTTTTTGGGACGAAAGCAATGTACTCATGCTTTCGTCCCAAAAGCTATCAAAGGGAAATTACGTGATAGTTTTATATGAAGAACAACATTTTCCTGGAGTCATTGAAAGTACAAATAAAAATGAGTTTGAAGTAAGCACGATGACCTTTTCAACAGGAAACACCTATAAATGGCCAGATAAACCTGATAAGATGTGGTACCAAAGAAAAAATTTCGTGGAGCAGATTTGTCCGCCAAGTTTAATTAACAAAAGAGGTTTTTATGCTGTAAAGGAAATGAAAAAATACTCTGTTTTTACTTCTTAATTGTTATGTTCTTTTAAAGATATTAGTTATTTTGATATTAGTTGTTTTTTATAGTTTGTGACGGAAAAGATAATTTAGCATTGTTGATTCTGATAATATATTTTACTTTCCAAAGTAACATGTAGTTCATAAGTAAATGACTGATTAATACATGAAAGATATAAATATATGAATATGTATAACATATAATATATAAATAAATATTAGTACATAAAAGGCTGATTAGGAGTAGTTTTTGAACTTTTCAGTGATTTTTTAGGTACTTGTAGAGAAATAACAATAATGTTTAAGTTCTTTAATGCTGATCATCTCATTGTCCATTTTCGAGAGTTTTAAGTACATAATGTGAATGTTGTTACGACTGGAGTTACATTAAAAGCTGATCAAAATAAAAGTTTGTATTATTTTATATACCAAATAATATTCCACAGTTAATTTAACATAGGCTTATGATTCATGTTCATTACTAGGTGTCCATATGTGGTTCTCGTTTATTACTGGCTGTCCATATTAGGTTCTTGTTTATTACTGGGGGTCCATAACTAGATTTTGGTGGTCCATAACTGGTTAAAAAAATCCAAGTTTTTGAAACCAATTAAAGTGCCCTACATTAAATAAAGCAGAAAAATAGAGTAAATACAGGACTTGAAATTTTCACGACGTTTTGTGTTAAAACTTTTACGGGTATAAGTGAATTTTGTGAAATACCAAAATTTTCTTCTTAAAGTGTCCATCATTTGGGGTGTTTACCATAGTGATGATGAAAAAAAGGTGATAATGAATGACTTTCATTTATTACCTAGTAGTGGACATGTAGGAGTTAGGAGGATGGTTAATAATATCAAAAAATATTATTATTGGCCATCGTTGGAAAAAATGTTAGGTGCTATGTCGAAAGGTGTATCAAGTGTCAAAAACAAAAATACACTAAAGGAACCTTTATGCATTACAACTGCGTCCTCATCATTTGAAAAAATATTTCTAGACATTGTAGGTCCATTAGACAGAGATGATTTAGGATACACTTACATTTTAACGTTACAATGTGAGCTTAGTAAATATGTTGAGGCGTACCCTTTAAAAAGTAAAACCACAACCGAAGTTGCTAGAGCATTTGCCGAAAAATTTCTTTTACGTTACGGAATTCCCAAAGTAATAGCCAGTGATAGAGGTACAGAATTTGTTTGAAAAATTATGTCAGAAAGGACATCATTCACGCTCCATACAAAAAGTACCCAAAAAAAAGTGCCGGTCAACGAAAAAAAAATGTTTTATCGGTTAGAGAATGACATTGTAAGGTTTTTTTCTTTAGACTAGCCGTCTAGAGCTAAGACCGATTACTTATGATTTATATGACTTAGAAATAATAAAAAATGCATTTACACGAGTTCGTCTGAACAATTTTTACTTCATTAATATAGCAAAAACTTAATCTCGCTTAATAATAATATAATATGACAAAAAGCCTAATTATATAAAATCATCATAAGTACCTACGTAGGTATTTATGTGTAGGTATTAGTGTTATAAAATATATGTAAAGAAAAAGACTTCATTTCGTTACCTACGCGGCTTTATTCTTACGATCTATCTTACGATAACGTTTTCTAAACCTAATGCCTGCCTGACCTGCCTAAATGTACGAGACATCCAATGTCCTTGTTTGCCGATGATTGTACTGTTTCCATACAATCCAAAACACCTGACAGTTATCAGGACGATATAAATGACTGTATGTCATCGATTGTTGATTGGTTAGCCCGGAATAACCTTAAAATTAATCTTCATAAAACACAAGTCATGCATTTTAGTCAAAGACCCAAGGCGCACAATCCGATTACAATCAGTCACAATAATCATGTATCAAAAGAAGCATTCACTGCGAAATTTTTGGGTTTAGTCTTTGATAGACAGTTAAATTGGAAAGAACATGTAGCTCAACTATGCAAAAGAATCAGTAGTTCTACATACGCACTGTACAAATTGTCGGGAATTGTTGATAATGATGCTGTCCTTACTGCCTATCACGGTCTATCGGAATCAATGTTACGATATGGCATCATTTTTTGGGGTAACTCAACAAATAGCGTAATGGTTTTTAAGACTCAGAAACGTTGCGTTCGAGCCATGTTTGGTCTGCAATCGACTGATAGCTGTAGGCCGTATTTTGTCCGGTATGGCGTCTTGACGCTTCCGTCACTATACATACTGGAGGTGGCTTCTTTCGTACACAAAAATCCTGACGTATTTCAGCGCCTATCTGACGTTGTAAAAAGAAACAGGCGCAACGACAATAGATTGTGCTTACACAGCGCTAAAACAAGGATGATGAGTAAAAGTTTGCTATGTATTGCGCCAAAAATTTATAATAAACTGCCATCCTACATTAAAAAATTTAATATTGACTTATTTAAAAATAAATTTAAAAAATATCTTGGTTGCGAAATGTTATTATAGTGTGTTATATACTTTATGAAATTGTATAAAGGGATATCATGGTTGGACATGAAATTGCTGACATTTGTTTATTAAAATTTATTGTATCATAGATTGACTACGCAAATTTACCATACCTATGTTTTTCTTTTATTATGTATTTTTGTAAAAACTAATTATTATTTTTTTGCATGCCTTGAGGTAGAATGTGGCTGCTCATTGTTGTACCTTTATTAACACCTTAATATGTATATCCATGTTCGCAAAATAAATTATTTGATTTGATTTGAAATGCAGGTGGATTTATGGGAGGTTGTTGGTGCCTCGCGAACGTCATGTACCACACTATGCACATAGTGTGGGAACAGCAGCCCACCGTTCTTTTGCCAACATGGCATAAGCAATAATAATACTCACTCAATGATGTGTCGATGCCAATGTAAACATAATATACTCTGGCCCGAACATGCCGAGATTGTACTCTTCCTCTTATAATTATTATGTTTTCTCCCAATTCTCTGACGTGTTCTGTTAAAAGTCTGTCGCCAAGCTCGACCGTAAAAACACCATTTGGATTAATGTGCTCGCCGTAATAGCTTTTAGCTTGTTTTATTTGATAAATACCCAAACTAAATAATATTAAATCCTCTTCTGAGAGCCTTGAAAAATCATCGAACTCGGGCATATCGGTGGACATCGGCTGAAATTGTGCTCATTTTATGATTTTCGGAGATCCATTTTGGGTCTAAAAGTTGGTCGTAGACGTTTGTTGTAATAATAAAAAATGTTTAAAAGATCATTTGCTGTAAGATGACACAGTTTTTTTTTACTGGCACTTTAATTTTTGGGTACATTTTGAATGATGTCCTTTGTAAACTTTTGAACATAACTCAAACGATTGCCACCGCATACTACCATCAGAGCATTGGTTCGCTGGAAAATACACACAAGTCTTTAAATGCGTATTTACGAATTCAAACAGATAATAACCCGTCCAGTTGAAGTACATGGTTACAGTACTGGTGTTTTTCATAAAACACTAATGTTCATTCGGAAAGTAAATACACCCCTTACGAATTAGTGTTTGGACGCGTATGCAGGTTACCCAAT